TAGATCCCTTATCCTAATTTGTGAAGTGACCGTATGTTATTTATGCTATTTTGCAAGTATTTACATTGGTCTCTTTATTCGTTTAAGACGATATTAATTTCATGAATTTAACCCTCGACTGAAATTCCATTTGAATTTACGTCGTAAAGAGATTGGTACGTCCTCTTTATGTTATTTTATTTTTTGAAATAAAAAAAAATTGAAGTCACGCGATAATTTTTCTGCGTATTTTTTTTTTTTTTTCACTTCTCGAACTCGTGTAAGTCCACGATGAATTTTCTTTATCGCCATTCTCAGAAAACTAATTTTTAAAAACTAGAAGAGACGAAGGAAACCTATCAAGCTGTAATATTAATAGCTTCTTCTAGACTTGAAAACGGACTTGAAAAAAAATTCACGAATCATTAACTGCTTAATGTGATCTGTTGAAAGACAAATTTCTTTGTTCTTCTTTCGTGCAGAAGAACCTGAAGAAATTTTGTGAGTGATGCGTGAGTCACATTGTATACACAGGGTGATTAAAAGATGTTTCAATGTCCGTTCGTGAGATATTTCTGCATCTAGGTGTTACATAATTTTATATTCGATAAATCATTCACAAGCCACTCGATATTGATCAGTTTAATGTGGGACGTGGACTATTTTATTTTACATTTCAGACTTCAGATAAATCCACCCTTCTCTCGTGATTCTTTTAATAGATTTTCGTCTGTCAAATATATTCAAATATATATTTAAGTTGAATATCAAGATTCGTGTTGTGCGACAGGATTGGATGAAATAAAGTACTTAAATAAAGTACCATTTGATTCGAAATTATATCATTATTGATTGTTGTTATTTTATATTTGCTTCTACGAATGATCTTTTTGTGAATAGGAAAAACTTATTCGTATCTCTCTCTCTCTCTCTCTCTCTCTCTCTCTCTCTCTCTGGCTTAGTCTATTTCAAATGGAAAACGACGACAGTGGTAGGTCGGAGGTGACGATAATTCAAAAAATAAGCATTTATCGTGGTATCCAAGGCGGCATTATCGTTATAGGTAAATCGTCAACGATTTATTAATACGTTTCTAAAATCGGTCTCCCACTATTCAGAGGTTAAGGTTATCAAAGTGAATCCATCGACCTTGAACTGGACGCGCCAACGATGGAAAAATTGTCCGACGATATCCGGAATGAAAGCGATTTGTATTCATGACTGAAAAACCTGACGAACTCGCCCCATAAAACAAGGAAACGAGAATTTACGGTACTTGAATAAAATTTCTTTTCAATCGGACAAAATTCGTGGAAAAAATCTTTTTTCATTGTTCGTAAATTTTTATTCCTTAAATTATACATTTTCTCGTAACATTGTGAGAGAATATATTGTACTACATTGCACGACGTAAATTTTATAAATATACCATGTGTAAAAGCTATGAAAATCTAGGTTTTATATTATCGATGTTCGTTAATTTCAGAATTTCCAATTTGATTCAATTTTATTACTAGTCTATGAAACATAAAGATTATACCCGAGAAAAGTTATTAATTTGTATTCACTTGCTATTATTGTATTAAAAATAGAAAATCGAGACATTTCTATTTCCGTAGGAATTTCGAAATTCAACTAAATCTGTAAATTATGAAATTAATTCATGTCGCGTCCCAAAGGTTCGGGGGAAGAATTCCCTTCACATTCGACTTTCCAGATTTTAACGATGTTAGCTTGATTCTTGGATCTGTAAATGTTCTCACTCACCTATAGACACCGTAATGCTTGCCACTGGCACGGTCACCGCAGATCGAGCAGAGGTGCTTGCTTCCGGATAGAGGGTGGTTCGGCGGATAGGGTGCGACCGCTTTGTTCTGTCCACTCGGCGACGTACTCAGAAGGTTGCTGTGACAACCAGCGGTGAAGGATCTTACATGCAAAGAAGACAGTAACAAAAACTCCAGCTACGAAACTACTGCCCCGGATCGAGCAAAATACCCCGGTTCGAGGGAATCAAATTTCTTTGAAACACTCGAGAAAATTAAATTCAAAATCAACTTCAGATTAGCAGCAGAAGTTGAATCGTAAAACAAGAGATATCGATTTTTTAAATAGCTTCGTAAATATTATAAAAATACGTTTCGGTAATATTGTTAACAATTTATGAAATAACTCGACAAAGGATAATCCCAAGAATATCATTACTAATTCATAATAATTTAATTGTAAATTATAGTTTGTGAAAAATTATGAAGTAAAATAAGATTTATATGATAGAAAGTGATATATGATATAGTTTGTGAGAAGATGATATAGTTTGTGAAAAATTATGAAGTAAAATAAGATTTATATGATAGAAAGTATGAAGAAAATAAGATTTATATGAAGTAAAATAAGATTTATATGAAATAGTATGAAGAATATTATCACGTTGTGTAAAACAATCTAGAAAAACTCGAAAGATATTCTTTTTCACTGACAGGTTGCCTGCTCTTTTCTATTTTCTTCTCCGTTTTCGATCGCCAAGGCTGCTTAACTTTAAATTACATTCCGTCGACGTTTTATATGTCACGTGGCAATAAAAATGATAAAATCAGTGTAAGAAATGAAACAGTATTTTGCTCGATTCCTACGAGAGTGCGACTACGTTCATCGTTCATCCTCGATTTACGATGTCATTCGCCGGAATTCTATTTTCTCAATATTCAAGCCGAATCGATATGCTTGTTTCAATAGCTCTGTTTCGTGGATACGTTGACCATTGTTAAATCGTAAAAATTGTCCAGCTTGCGATGGATTGTTCAGGACTTACCCAGGACTATTGGGACCGGAAGGGCTGAAGTTTCCTGGATTGATGAGGCTAGCTGTATCGGGCTTCATGTCCAGCGGACTTTGCGGGCCCACCGAGGACATGGACATGTTACTGTTGTCCAGACTCAGCCCTGAAACAGACAAATTTTACGTTAGTAAAATATATATATATATATATATATATATATATATATATATAGAATTCTTTCGTTAGTATGAAAGTATATTTCTATGTTTACAAAATTATATTTCTCATACACAAATATAAAGTGTATATTTCTATATGCAAAGAAAACTTGTTCGTTGAACGTTTTCAAATAATTAAAAGAAAAAGATATATTTCTTTTGTTATTATAAAAATATATTTCCATTTACTTATTATTGATATACTATTCGTTGAGTGTTTTAAAGAAATTGTACAATAATCGAACGTTTCAAGATGATTTAAAAATGGCTGAATGATCTCAAAAAAGTCTCTTCATTGGAGAATAATAAATTCATTATCATTAACAAATTTATACCTGTTTACCTTGACAACTTATAAAATGTTATACGATATTACAAGATTATTGAAACTCGTATAAATCGAAAGAGAAATAAATTGTGCATATTTCACAATTGACTTATTTATTTTATAATTTTGAATGTCTTGATATCTCGATTAAATTTAAGTAGATTAAATTTCGACCATAAATTAAAAAAAGAAAAAAAAACAAAATACAACGATTGTGTGCATCTCATTTGAGAGTAAATTCGAAGTAAATATACATTAAAATGAAATTTCGCGAAATTATTTGTGAAACGTTGGAAGTCTATCTACCAAGATAATTCGTCTCTTTCAGTTAACAAGCCAATGCTTGATTTTTAGAAAACATTGTCAAAGTAACATACACACGTCCCAAATAACGTTACTTTCTAACGCGTCACAGAATTACACTTTTACTTCATTAATATTCACGGCAAGGCGTCCTTTTACTTTCAACCTCGACTGGCCGAGATTCCTATTTACCGACCGATCGAGGACGACTCGTCTCGTCCAAGATACTACGTTAATTATTATCATCACGGGACGTAATTTACAGTTTTACTGGAACAATAAGAACCGATAGATATTAAATATATATAATAGTTATCATTTGCTTCGTTCAATGTCACATTTTCAGGCACACACTGTGCTCACGATAGTATTTGAACGTTTAATACTGAATTTTTATGCCCACTATATTAGCACTATAATGTGACATATTAATTAGATATAAATCGATCAAACAAGATATTTATTGTCAACGTATTGATGAAAAATTGATACATAACGTGAACGATCATCTGAACGTATAATAAGAAAAATGGTTTCATTGAGATTAATATGACAGACAATTGGCTGTTTAAATATTTGTGTGACCTCTGTGAAATATGTTTCTTTTGCAGCTTTTAAACAAATATATGTCACAGCTTCTCGTTAGGATGTTAATGAAATTTTTATGGTTAAACGTTTTCTATAGTTAATATTCAAATGCTTTCATGAACCTCTGTACGTGGAAGATGAACGCACAGAATAGTCATTAAATGAAATTTATGTTGCAAAGTCATTTCCATTGCCAACTTGTTTTATGTCGAATGGTAATTTACACATTTTTTAATTTATAATATTTACTGCTAGTATCAATTACATATGAAGCTATATTATCTCTTCCAAAATCAATAATAAAATAAAATCCCTAATAAATTTTGTAATACGTCAAGCAGTATATAATAACATTAACAATATTATAAATTTTCGCGAAAATTTCGTTTCATACTCTAGCACGAACGTAACAGCTTCAACGAGCTGGAGGAAACGAGTAAAACGAATCAATAAAGAAATTTCATAACGAATCAAGCAATTCTCCAACAGATCTATTCCACACAGTAATGTATTACAAATTCGCGTAAGCGTAGATTTGTCTCGTACTCTAACAAAATGGTAGCAATTCCAACAAAGTGAAGAAATAAAATAAAATTTGATAACAGATCTGATGATATGACAAGTGTCTATGTAAAAGCTTCGTTTCACATTAATAGCTCGCGAACGAGGTGAGAAAATGAATAAAATGGTGAAACAGTCGATGTCGTTGCTTCATGTCCTTGTGGAGGAAGTCCAAGCATCGAGAGAGCAAATTGCTCGTTTCACCGTGTCGTACTTGTAATTCGCGTCGTTCCATCATCGTGTTCTGTTCTCTGTGCAGTAACTGTCTCGATGCTTTTTTTTCCACGCTCTATTTCCAGCTGGATTTACGATGAAACGTGCACCGGTCGAGCAGACATTCGCACATACGCGTCGTAGACTCTTCATGTCGCCACGGTGTATAGAGAAGATAAACGACGTTTTAATAGGGTTTGGCCGAGGATCGTGGTCCTCCACTGCCATTCGACGAAGGGGAGAGACGTAATCGTTGGAAATGACGAAAGAGAGAACTGGAGAAGCAAGTGGAACCGTGTAAAACGAGGGAGAGCCAGGGAGAGACAAGGGAGATCCCTAAGGATATATAAGCACTAATTGTAAATTTACGTCATAATTCTCTCCTCTTTGCTCTCTCCATTTTATATTATTATATTAACTTCTTTTGTTTATTTTGTTTCTTCCTCTTTTATACGTTTTTATTTTATTTTTTTTACTTTATTTTATACAATTATGAACATTTCATATATCAAGATAATTATAATATCATGCCATCATCCAGTCTGAATTAAATATTAAATCGTGTTAATTCAGTCCAGAAGTCTAGCAACTGTGAAAATGATAATTCGAAAAGATACTTCATTTTTTTTTCTTTTATCCACAAGTTCCGACACAGAAGTGAAGCGCTTCGAACAAAAGACAGCTGAGAATGCCAAAGAAAACACGGGTTCAGTAGGTTAATCGCTGGCGAATGCTTAAAAGGTTAAACGACAGGCCGCCGTTTGATATTAGCCGTGCGTTTCCGCGGAAAATATATAATTACACCGAGGTCGCAACTCTCCTTTAGTGACTTCTATTTCGAGTGTTAGGGTCGTCGATTGCGCGTCGCTCATCGCCGTCGTTTATTAAACGTCGTTACGCCGTTTTTGCTTTAATTGCGCAACCGGCGAGCATGCAAAATGAATTGAAGGTCATCGACAAACGACAGACGAAACGAAAGCGACTTTTTGCACGTCTGAACGATCCAACGAATTTCCGTTTTCGCAGTACATTTTTTGAACAGAACTCTCTTGGAGTTGCTTCTAATCTAATTCTTATGTAACTTCATATTCCATTCGTACGAATGGAAAGTTATATGCGTAGGAATTTGTTTCTCGCTTGGTAAATTATAACGAGTAATTCAATTTTTAATTTTAACCAATGAATTGCGTTTCCACTACGTGTAAGAATTAATTCGATGTACTTTTGGAAATTTTTAATTCCCTGTTGTTAATCACTGAATTGGATTTTTACAGAATTTTATGTTGCATACTAATAATAATAAACTTGTGTGAAAATTTGTTTTTCATTTACTGTTAGTGAAGATTCTATGGAGTATTCAATTTTGGATTATCTAACATATTCTATATACATTCTGTGCAATTTTGTACTTTTGAAATTTTTCATACATTTCTACGCAAATCTGCATTTTATTGATCACAATAGAATTCTATAAAATCCAATAATATGAACTGATTAAAAAGAAGTTGCGATTGAAATGTGTTGATTCTTAACACATTGGCTACCCAGTTTTGTAAATCATGCTAGATTGGATTACATACTTTTGCAAAATCTATCATTATATAATTATATAAATATTAATGTATTTCTCAACTTATAAATTGTCGTGATATCCAACGTTCGATGATATTAATATTATAAATTTCATCGCACATTTCATCTGACATATTTAATAATGTTCATGGGTCGAATGAATTCGAATTTTAAATAATTCTCCTCTCGCTATAGGAAACCGTCTAAATGCCCGAGCAAGCAGATTCTCACGCAGCTTGTTCTGTTCGTCGATTATTTCGGGTCGATTTTCAAGAAGATTCGGATAATCTGACCCTTTTCGGGCTAGTGTGTCAAGGGCAACATGTGTGCCCGATGCTGACGTAAGAGGTGCCGTGGAAATTACCTGTTGCAAGGTTAGCGAAGACCGAAATGATAAAAAATGGCGCGCTGCTACTTTGAGATGAGATCTGGTAAAATTTTGCGTTTATTTAACTTTGAAGTTTAATTTGATTTGATTTTATTACCAATTTCTCATCAGAGAGAGTGTAAAATACGAAGTGATCGATATAAATTGTTATAGTTAACTCAGTTACAGATACTCCGTGAAAATTAGGTCCTTCCGAAACAAAAAGAACACTCAACTAAATTAAATATCAAAAAGATCCCGGTGGTCAAACTTGACGATTCAGAATAATACCAATGTCTCGAAAATATCGATATTCAACTTCAACAAACTCGCAAATCCTTTTTCAAATTTCAAAACAGCCGTCACTCGAACTTTCTATTTCCAACAGCTAAACTAATCCGCAATCTTGCAAATTCCAAGAAACTTACGAACCTCTTTCCATGAAAATCTCAAATGTCAACCCATTCGAATGCAGCAAATTTCCAAATCCTTCTTCGCACGATTTTCTTCGGAAACGCCGGAGTATTCACGAAACTAATGCAAGTGAGATAAAATCAAAGGTCTACAGCCTGTGATAGCTGCCGATGGATCGAAACGACGATCGAGAGGTGGAACGGAGAGCCACGAACACGGCTTTAATCGTAGCAGAGAGAGACGAGGACGCACGAGAGTGGCTGCAAGGCCAAGTCCGATGACGTTACATTATACCGGCAGTGTCGGGCACCTTGACCACGCGCAAATACGCCTGGTGCAACGCTCGAAACTTTGTTGCATGCATCGACTCTTCACTTCACCTTTTCTTTTCTTTTTTTTTTTTTTTTTTTTTTTTTTGTATTTTCTATCTCCAGATAAACAAATTATCTTTCGTTAATTTACGTAGTGGAGTTGGATATTTCACATAAGATTTGCGCATACTATGAATCATTCGATTCATTTGTGAGTTATTTATTACGTAAAAAAAAAAGAAAAAAAAAATGTTTCGAGCAGAATGAATTTGAAGATAATCGAAGATAATTAAAAAATTACAGTGAGATTGAATATTGCACTGTGCTGTACTTCGGGTATTTTATACGTTTAGATATATGTTTGATAATTTACCCTACATAGTAATATTGCAAGTACAATTTCACATATATATACATTACTTACAGATCAATAGAAAGTTACCTTGTAATTTTTCAATTAACGCGCGTCACTGCTCAAAATCACCTGAGAGATGATAAAATTTTTCAATGTTTCAACTCTGCAATGCAATTGTTGATATATCGACGTTTCACAGATTCTTCATTCTGCAAACTATCAAATAAATATCGTCCTAAATTAAATATAAATCCTGGAACTTTCTAGCAAGGCTGTACAATGCATTGATATGATTCTAAAACCGTAAAAAAGAAAAAAAAAAAAAACGAAGAAAGAGAAGGCAACCCAAGTACGTCGTGCTTTCCCAAGTCTCATGTATTTTTCATAGACGAACGACCGACAGAGGAAAGGAAAAGAATAAATTACAAGCAAGGAAATACAGACATAGGACAGACGGACGGGACGGGGAGAAAGTGGGAGATAAAACGCGAACTCACAGTCAAAGAGACAGAGGGGAGGGGAGG